GCCCGGCTCTGTTGGCTAACTCGGTGTTCCTCAAACAGGCCCTGCCTCAGCATGGCTCCCTTACCTCCTTCAGATCTCTGCTTCCTGGGGAGGCCTTCCCAGCCACTGGGTAAGAATGGAAGAGCCCCTCCACAGACACCTCTGGTCACTTGCCCCTGCTGTATATTTCCTGCCCTTGCTTTATGGTTTCTCCTGAGCTCTTGCCACTGCTGCTGCTAAGTCACATCAGTCGTGTCCGACTCTGTGCAACCCCATGGACAGCAGCCCACCAGGCTCCCCTGTCCCTGGGATTCTCCAGGCAAGAACACTGGAGTGGGTTGCCATTTCCTTCTCCAGTGTGTGAAAGTGAAGTCGCTCAGTCCTGTCTGACTCTTCGAGACCCCATGGACTGTAGCCTACCAGGCCTCTCCTTCCATGGGATTTCCCAGGCAAGAGTATTGGAGTGGGTTGCCATTGCCTTCTCCCCATGAGCTCTTAGCACCGTTTAATATGCAACATCTGTACATATTTATTTTCTCTGTTATGTCTACCCATTTTAGTGCCAGTTCCATGAGGGCCAGGACTGTGCCCGGTGCTAGGAACAGGGTCTGGCTGAATGAATGCATGGTGGCCCTCCCAGCTCCCGGGGCGACCACAGGACTAAATGGCTCAACCGGCCAATATACACAAAGTGAATTTTTCCTCACAATCTGCTCTCTCCTCCACCCTTCCTAGGCTTCTTCAGCTTAAGACACCTCCTCAGGGAGGCCCTCCAGCATCTCAGACTCAGCCAGGTTCCCTAGCACACCCTGCTCCTGACCCTCCAGCACGTACACAGCTGTTAATAACAACTGTGTTCAGTTCAGTTTTCTCTCCTGCTCTGCAGGGATGTAAACTGAGGACAGAAGCAATCCCTAGTCCCAGCCGTGTCCGCATACCTGGCACAGTGGCCAGAGCAGCAGAGCACAAGTTCATGAAGTGTGAGGATCCTGGAGGCTGCCCCTTACCAAGTGGGTGACCTTGGGCAAGCCCCACACCTATGCCCTCGACCCTCAGTTTCCCCACCTGTAAAACTGGGATGATTAAAAACTACTTCCTACAAAAGTGGGTTGTAAGAACAAAATGGGATAATCGAGGTAAGACATTTAGCAGGCTCCAGCAGCTAAATACTCAACAATGATCACCATGTATGGCTAGTGCTGGACAAATACTTGTCAACAGGGAACGAAGTGTTCCAGGGTGGGTAGGAGACATTTGAACCCAGACCTGTTGCCTCACGTCTGCAGGGCCAGAAGGGGACACAGAGCTTTTAGACCAGTGGGTCTTAGCCAAGTCAAAACTTGCTAGAATGTCACAACTGGCCATGAGGCATCTGCCCAGTTATTTGTAATAAGCAGAGGCAACAGTCTGGCCTTCACGAGCTTAGCTCTGGACCTCAATCAACCCAAGTTCAAATCTTATTGCTGCCATTTGCTACCCATGGGACCTGAACCAAGTTTCAAAAACCTCTCTGGGCCTCAGTTATAGTAGTGCTGGTACCTTAGCGACTGCTGTGGGGGGTACCAGAGCCTAAGTGTAATAGGGCACGGTGCCTGTCACTCAAGAAACACTGACAAAGCCTATGTATTATAGCCCCAAAGTAACCAATGGTTTATATAAAAATATAAGTAACAGGTACATTCCAAATAATGCTTCTTACATCGCCATCTTGCTTACTCATATTTTGATATGCTTTCCTGAGTGGAAAAATTCACTGAGTACTATTGGAAGGGATGCCTAATAATCTTTTTTTTTTTCCCCTGACCACACCATGTGGCTTCTGGGATCTTAGTTCCCTGACTAGGGTTTGAACATGGGCTCTTGGCAGTGAGAACGAGGAGTCCTAACCACTGGACTGCCAGGGAATTCCCTGGCCTAACAGTCTTTTTAAAGGTAGATGCTGAAATATGATGTAGCCCTCCCTCAGTTAACCATAAAAACCTGCCTTGTGCTGGGACTGCTTCAGGAAATCAACCAACAGAGGGCATGTTCTCTGCTGGGGAGAGGATAGCAGCGGCCAGAAGGCTCAAGCGTAGAAGCAGGCAGGGGCTGCTGTGGATGGTGCTGGGCCTGGCATACCAGAAACCTAGGAGGCATCCTGAGTCCTGCTCTCACATCCCACATCCGATCCATCAACACGTCCTGGCGGCTTTATTTAACTCTTAAGGGAAAGGGCATTCCTGGGACATAGGAGGACCTGGGAACTCCAGGCTGCCAATCCCAAGTGGTACCACGGCACCCAGCAGTGCACCAGTTAGGCAGCCCCAGGCCCAGAGGGCAAAGGGCACAGGAGGGGGTGGGGGCTCACCCTGGATGGTCCTCTTGAAGAAGGCTTTGCAGGCCTCACAGGATGCCACACCATAGTGGTAGCCGGAGGCCACGTCCCCACAGACCAGGCAGAGGCGTTTGGGCAGGGAGCTGAGCACCAGCTTCCCACCACCCTGCTCTCCAGGCCCAGCCCCCTCCCCATCCTCCTCTTCCTTGTGGCCTGGGAGGCAGCGGGTGGGAGCTGGGCCAGGAGCCAGAGCCACGGGGGGATCGGTCTCAGTCTCCGAGGAACCCTTTGGGCTGTCAGGGCTGGCTGGCTCTGCCTTGATGTAGAGAGGCTCAATGCCCACCACCTGGCTGGACATGGCGCTGGTCACCTGCGGGAAGAGACCCGTCAGGTCACAGGGAGGAGCTGCGATGGGGGATGGAGACACCCTGTCACCCTGGTTGCCCAACCCCAGGCCTAGGCAGGCTTCCAGGCTTAGCCAGAGGGTGGAGGGGGGACAGAGTCCAAGGAAGGCTGCCCATGAAGAGGGCCCCCCCAGCTGTTGCCATAGCAACAGAGTCTCCAGAGCCTCCAGGGCCAGTAACTGACAGCAGGTCTCCCACTTGGGAACTTACCATAGGTTTGGAAACCCCCTACCCCCACCCAGGCCAAGCAATAGGGTAACCTTATCCCCAACCTTCAACCCTATCTGGAATCCTCAGCCAAGAGTGGGATACCTCTGTTTTCTCCAGATGCTGGTGATCTCAGCAATCTCCCCCACACCTGGGGATCCTCCACTCAAGAGCCAAAACAGAGACATACAAACCCAAGGGCAGTCCATGTGCTCACACAGGTGTGCTTATATCCTCACCCTCCCACTCACTTGGGTCCTCAGGTGTCCTGACCTGCACACACACACTCACGTGCTCACACACAGTCACTCTACTGGGCAGGTTCACACTCACATGGCCTTCTCAAACCCCAGCTCTCACTCATGCTCCCATTTGCCTACACACACTCCTACTAAAGTGCATACTTCATAACAAAGTCACACTCAAGGCTCATAATCACACTCTCACAAACACAGTTACACTCTCACCATGACCGCCCCTCCCACACACACACACAGGTTTAGACACTTATGGAAACACATTCGGACCCTCTCACACCTGACACATCTTCCCCTCCAGCCCCAGGCACACCCGCTGGCGCGGCTCCACCTCCTTGCACACTCTTCCGCACATTCACTCTTACACTCCTGCTGCCGCAGAATCCTCCACCACGGGGCGCCCCGCCCCCCCCAACCTGCGCACACCTACGGGAAGTTGCCTAAAGTTACTGCGCCTTCCCTCCCCCTCCGCCCGCGGGGGCCCTCTATCAGGTTATCAGGAAGTAATGGGGGAGCGCCAAGGAGGAGGAAGCTCTCCCCAGCCAGTGAGATGACCTTTGACCCAGAGAGAAGGGTGGCCCGAGGCCCCTTCGAGCGCCCCCACGTGGTCTTCAAAGCCCCTTCCCCGACCGGGAACCCTTCCCATCTTCCACCCTAGCCCGCCCCCGGGACTTCGGCATGCTCCAGGTGCCGGATTGAACCCTGCCTTGGGATTGGATCCGAAGCCCAAGCCCGACCCTGGCCAGAACCTGCAACCCGAGTCAGAACGGGCCCCGGGTCTCGGGCCGGAGCCTTAAGCCCTAGACGCCAGATCCCGCCCGCACCCTGACCCCGTCTGGCTTTCGACCGGGTGCCGACCGTGACCTGGGCCGGACCCAGAATTGGACCCCGCCTGGAGCCCGCCTCGCCGCCTCCTCGGGCCGCGCCGCCCCGCCGCGCCGCGTCCCCTCACTCGGCGGCGCCGCCGGCGGCTTGTAGGACACAAAAGGACATCGCGGCCGCTTCCTACTCCGCTTCCTCCAGCTGACAGCGGGGGCGGGGCTGGCCGTGCGCATGCAAAGCAGGGGGCGTGGCCCAGCGCCCTATGCTAATCGGACAAATGGGGCGGGCAAGCGCTTGCGCGCCGGGACGTGCCGGGGCGGGGCCAGCGAAGCCGGCTGCGGCGGCGCACTTGCTTGCGTAGGAGGTGGCTGAGGGGGCGTGTTCAGAGGAGACGCTGAGTGCCTCCGGGGAGGGGGTGGGGCTAGGAGCCTTCTTACGTAAAGGGAGAGGCGGGGCGCGCTGTTCGCGAGAGAAATGGGAACGGTCGTTGAGTGGCCGCCGCTGAGGGGCCGGGAGACTTCATACATATGCAAATAGGAGGGCGGGAGGAGCGCCGAGGCTTGTGTATCTGCATATGCATAAGAGGCGGGGTCTAGCGCGCCTAAGTTAGAAGGGAGGTTCTGCTTCTTTCCTTTTTACCCCATTCCAAGATAACACCAACGGGGCACTGGCACCGCACACCCAGTATCCCCGCAAAGCTGCTGAACCCGGAGTGGGAGAAGCAGACCTAGGACATGAAAGAAGTCCTGGATTTCGAGTCCTGGGAAGGCGGAGCCCATAGTGCCCGAACGGAGAACGCTCAAGGTCACTGCGGTGACCGAGTGAAGGTCACAGGGAAAGGCGGGGCCACGTGCGTCCGCCTCTAGCGGGCAGCCACGCATTGACTCACGGACCGTGTACAGATTCTTTTATTTCTCTAAGGGCTCAAATTCCACGTGGACAGGGTCGAGCTTGGATTGGGACTGGACAGGGACCAGGGCTGGAGTCGGGCAGTCACTGGAGCCCGAGGCGGTGCTCTCATATCGCCAAGACTTGCAGCCTCCTGTTCCGGCGCCTTTTGAGCCCCTCGATGTATCGCTGCAGCTGTTTGGTCAGGGAGTGGTCCCGGCCGATCTCTGATTGGTAACCTGGAGGGCAGAGCTGTATTCAGGGCAGTGAGCAGGGGCATGGCCTCCCCATCAGCCAGTCTACGTTAGTTTGGGGAAACTGGATCTTCAGGGTACTGGAACCTGCTGGTTTTGTTTCAAATGGTCAAGTCAGAGACCTGTGCTCCAAACAGATAGGAGATTCAGAGTGGGATGGAGTGCTGAGGTGGAGGATGGATGAGGAAGGCAAATTTAGAGAAGATGTTGCCAGCCTGAATTAGGGCACTGAGAGCAGGAAGCTTTGGGGATACCTTTTGGACCACCCCCTCTAAGCCATAGCCCTCCCCACCCTACCCTTTCATAAAGTAAGCAGGGCAGCCAAAGGAAATTTACTCCAATAATCCACTGTCCAAAGGCTCTAGGAAGACGCCAAGGCCACACGAAGGCTGTCATTCCCAATAGGCAAGTGGAGAAATGGCCTTAGAAAAGCCACAGCAGGTTAAGAGGAGCTGCACTGAGGCTACAGCCCAGTCCTGTGACAGTCACCCGGTACTCTGACTTTTTGCTTTTCCTAAAGCTTCTGGAATATTTGTGGGTGGTAAGGGAATCTGATAGGCAGACACATCCTGAAACCCCACTCATAGAGGACCAAGGCCTGCAAAGTCCCCCAGGGTCTCTTCCGGAAGTTGGGGGCGGGGAGTAGGGGGTGGGGAGGCTCACTCCGGAGGGCTTCAGTGAGTATTTCCAGAGCTTCATTCTCCATCAGTTCAGTCAGGGGCAGGGGCAGCTGGAGAGACAGCAAGAGACTCAGATGTACAAGGGACCCCAGCTCTGCCCACAGCTGAAATGCCCCACCTATGCCCTCCAGTTCCAAGACCCCCAATTGACCTGCCTGCCCCTCCACCCTACAAAGCACCCCCACCCAACTTGCTCACCCTCCAACCCCCACAACTCTCCCAGCCTCCCACCCTGTTCTGCTGCTCCACCCAGTAGGCCCGATGGGGCGTGTGCCTCGAGATATTGAGCGATGACTCTGAGGTAGACTTTTCTGGGAGAAGAGAAAAGAGGGATTAGTCATCTGTAGACTGCTCGGGCTTCCCTGGAGCAGAGGAGGTATAGGGGTAGGTTGAGGGTCAGGGGGCTCCAGAGACCAGCTCCAGATACCCCTTGAGTGGAAAACAGTATGGGACAGTGGTTGACAAGCCTGGGCTTTGTTGTCCCACCCTCCGAGGTGCCAGTTCAGACTCTACCCCACTTTGTGAGACTTAAGGCCAGTGACTGACTTTCTGACCCTCAATTTCTTCATCTGTACAATGGGATAATAAAATCGGCCCCTTATGGCGGTTGTGAAGTTTAATGGCGATCATACAAGGGAAGCTGAGTGCCTCGCACAACAGCGAGTGCTCAATAAATAGCATATTGTTGTCTGCTCCAATTCCCTGATGAAGGCCTGAAGAGCAGAGGTGGGAAGGAGAAGGGCATGCCCCAAACAGCCCAGTAAATAGCATTTACAGCTGGAATATAAAAATTGTAACCAGTGACAATGAATGAAAGGTAGGCACCCCCTGAAACAGCTCAAATCCACAGAAAAGGCATTAACTCCCTCATTTCAACTATTCGGGGATTCCATGGCAAACACTCCGCGCTGCCTTGGCGTATTTTCCTGCCTGTCTCTATGGCCCCGGGACCTTGTGAGACGCCTACCCGGTAGGGGGCGTTCCTAAAGCAAGAAAGATTAGCGTGGGCGCCCCTCCCAGGGAATCCTAGAAACTTGGGTCCGAGTGTTTTCCCCCATTTTAACGCAGTAGACATTGAGGCTCTGGCCAGCCCCCTGTCCGGTGGGCGCCCACAACCCGGTGGGGCCACACTGACCGTTGTCGGTCTTAGAAGCATCCTCCTCTAAACGGCTTCCCTGGGAGCTGTCGCCGCCAAGCTCCGGCTCTTCCGGCTTGAAGCGGTCCTTGTCCTCTCCGCCGTCGGATGCTTCCCAGCCACCCTCCGCGTCGTGGCCAGCCTTCTGGTCGTAGGACCAGCGGGTCTTACCGCTTACGCTAAAGTCCTCCAGTTCCGAGTCCTCGCGGACCGTGGGCAGCTGCACGTTCAGCTTCGGCTGAGACAGAGTAGCCGTGGACCACATGCTCCGGATGTCCTGCAGGCTCGACCTGCCCGAGCCAGGGTGGCTCGAAGACTTGGCCGATGCCTGTGGGCCACACACAACGAGGGAAGCCGAGGGTCGTGGGGAATCGGGAGGGGAGGGAGAGCAGGCTGGGAGCAGGGATCCTGAACCCAACCAGGGCTGACACGCCCCTGCTGCCGGGGGGGTGGGGGGGGGGGGGCGGTTCACGCTCCAGGAAGGGGGAGGGGCAGGATCCCGTCGGGAACGGCCCTTGGGAGTCTCACGCGCGGGGAGTTCAAGCTACAGCCCTCCACACTAGATGCCCTTCCGTCTCCCCATCCCTGGCCGCATAGCCGCACGGGGGATGGACGCCCCGCGCATCCGGGCTGATTCCCACGCCAGACCCTACCGGTAACCTCCAGGCAGAAACACCGGCCCAAGTACCCCCGAGAGTGCGGTCCCTTGACCGACGGGAGGGGCAGGGGTTCGGTCTGGGGCCCCTGGCGGGAGGGGAGGGAGGGAGCGGGGCCTGACTTGCCCGGGAGGTGGCCGACGACGCAAGCACTCGCACACCCTCTCGCGTTCCCGCAGCTCCACGCCCGCAGCCGTGCAGACTGTTTCCGTTTATTGATGCGGGCTTTGAGGCACAGTCGTGAGGTGTTGTGAGGGACAGGCTCGGCCGGGACAGCGAGACAGAAAGCCGTGGGAGTCTGGAAATGGATGAAGTGACAGGGCCAGGAGCAGGGGGTGGCAGACAAGCAGCCCGTGGCCTCCTCCCCAGGTTTCGGTCCGGTCGGTCGAGAGAGGACTCTTTGGTCAGACAAGCAGAGCATGCCGGGGTGAGAGGGCGAGAACGAAGCCCTTTGAGAGGCCGGGACCGGGGTCCTCCCCCTACGCGGGCACGCCTTTGTCCCGGGGGCGCCCCGGGCCGCGGGGCCGCGCCGGTTTCCTGGGCGGATTGAGGGGGCGGCGGCGACCCCGTGGCGCGCGGGGCAGCGCGCAGCCGCGCTCGCTCTGCGTGTCCGAGGACTCGTCGATGAAGGCCAGATTCTCGCTGGGGTAGTCCAGCGCTGAGGCCGTGGGCGGGGTGGGTGGCGTGGGCGGCGTGGGCGGGGAGGACGGCTCGGTCTTCTCCGGGGCCGCCGGGGATAGGGGCCTGCTGGCGGGCTGCGCCGGGCACGGCGGCGGAGGCAGGGGTGGCCGCTCCTTCTCCGACGGCGGTGGTGCCGTGGGCCCAACTCGCTGGGTCACCCGCGCGGTCACCGTGCCCGTCCAGCTGGCGGCCTGCGCCGTGAGGCCACCCATCTGCGCGGGGAGGAAAGGCAATCCTCGACCAGGGAGCCTCGACCGTCTCTCCGCAACCCTGGGAGCCTGCGCCGTCACCCGTCAGGCACGGCCCCTCTTTTCCGCCTGGTCCTCCCGCCTCAGGAGTGGGGGAAAGGCCGGAGGAGGGAGGGCAAAACTCATCACCAGCCACATCCTCTCCTTTCCTCCTCCTGCACTGAAATGCTCCCTTCTCCAGAAGAAAAGACCCGAGGCTTTGTATCAGCTCTCCCGTGTCCCCAGACACCTTTGCGACTCCACCCACTCCACGGCCAGGAGGNGGGGGGGGGGGTGTTTACAAAATACAACAATATATAAACCTACAACGACAAAACGCAGCAACAAATACAATTTTAGTATAAGGATGTCCCATGCAATATTTCAGACATACTTGTACTCAGATATTTGCAACTTATCCAAAATTCACATCCAACTAGGATTCCTTCATCTTTATTTGCTAAATGGTAACCTTTAACCGTGAGAGTAGAGACTGGATTTCCCCTGCAAACCTGTCGGAGCTTATCCCTTTGTTCCCTACCGGTGCACACCGGGGCTCCCTCAGTCCCCGTCTTGGGGAGCCCACACTCTGGAAGGGAAGGCGGGGTGGTCCACCGGCTGCTGGGGAGCAGCGCGTCAGCACCACGGCTCAGGCGCGGCGTCGAAGCAGGGGCGCCTACCTCTGCGCGCGTGCGGCGGGACACGACTCGCAACCAGTTTCCGATGGTGGTGAGCACTGACGCGAAGTAGGCCAGGCCGAGCAGGATCCAGAACCACACCAGCGGCTGGTAGGCTGCAAAGTTCTGGTTGGGGCTGGCGCCTGGGATACCGCCGGGGAGGGCAGAAAGAAGTTGATTGTGAGACATGCCTTGAGCCCGTTGAGTCTCGGGTTCACTGTTCTTCCCAAGTCCTGGAGAGGATCCGCCCTCCCCAGGGCCAGGGGTCTGAGCAAGAGTGCGTGAATGGATGCGAGGAGACAGACTGGGAGTGACTTGACGGTGTGCAAGAGAAGAGTAAGTGGAGGTGCTCAAGCGCAAGAATGTGAGCTTGTGTGAGGGGTGCACGTGTACAAGACTGTTAAGGGGTCACTTAATATACGTGTGAGCATGCATGGAGGTGCAGGCATGCAAGACTATAAGTAGGTAGGAGCCCCGCCAAAACGTGAGGGTGCATTCAGTGAGCGGATGTAGGGCGTGGAGCAAGCGTGTGTGAGCTGCACAAGCGCCCTGTGGAATTTCGAGGGAGAAGCCAGATCGCAGAGCCCGTGGGAAGGGAAGAGCAACCCAAAAAAGGTGGCCTCACCGGCCACATAGTCCCCGAAGCCCACCGTGGTGAGTGTCACCACCACGAAGTAGATGGCCTCCAGCTTGCTCCAGCCCTCCATGTAGCAGAACACGAACGTGGGCGTAAGGACAAAGAGCAGGCAGCCGATCAGCAGGAAGAGCACGGCGGATAGAATTCGCACCAGCCCCGGTGGCACCTGCCACTTCTGCAGGGAGGGGCCGAGGAGTCACCAAAACCTCCAGTCTCACACCCCACATCCCCTCTTCTCGGAACCAGTGTTCGAGGTTCACAGGATTCAGGCGCCCCCCACCCCACTCACATGCCTGGGCTGGGACGTAGGTAAGGGTATCCCAAACCCAACGCCAGGGCGCACAGGGCGTGGAGCAGCTCACCAGGAAGATGGCTTCGATGTGACCGATGCCATGGCGCAGCGAAGAGCCCAGCCGGTCCCCGACCCCGGCCAGCAGTATCCCAAACAGCGGGATCCCCACCAGCGCATAAAAGATGCAGAAGAGGCGCCCGGCATCTGTGCGCAGGGCTGCGTTGCCATAGCCTGGGCAGAGGGGCCGTGCAGCAGGTCTAGGGGCTACCTGGCACCCCCCAGCCCCCCTGCACCTTCCCCCATGAGAAAGCCCAGCCACCCCTTGCCCCTTCTGCATGCCCAATCCCCTCCCCCACCGATGGTTGTGATGATGGTGCCCGAGAAAAAGAAGGCACTGCCCAGGTCCCAGGCTGAATGGTTGCTGTTACTGGTTGAGTTGGTGTCAGGGTTCGCGCCCCCTCCCAGGGCATCAGCCACCTCCTGCAGGGCAAGGCGCAAAAGGAGGAACCTCAGTCCTTGCCTCCTATCCTGGCCAACTCCTGGCCCTCCAGTCTCTGAGTACTTCCCTCCTTACCCCTCCCAGCTCTACCCTACCCTCTGGCCTTCTTCAAGGCAGTCCCTCAGAGCAGACATTGCAGATTGGGCAGCCCAATTTTGTTGTTCGACCAACACATTGCTTTGGAGACATTTGAGTTATCAGCCCCTTAATTTCACATAACAGATTTCCAATTTTACAGTGGTCAGGAGCACAGACTCTGGGACCAGACTGCCTGGGTTCACATCTTGGTGCTAAGTGAAGCTGAACTGTGCTTCCATTTCTGCATCTATCAGTTGGGGATGGTGATAATAGTACCTTCCTCAAAGAGTTATTGTGAAGAGTTAAAGCATTCACAACAAGGCAAGCACTGTGTATTTGTTAAATGATTACCCATGTAGACAGCATGCTCAGTGAGTTCAGCTTTCCAGGGGCCCCACCACCCCTACTTCCCCCTAGGAAGCTGACTTTGAGTCAGTCTCTTGCCTTCAAAAATCTGATGAACGTTAGGGACCCTCCCTCCAGGAAGGTTCTCATACCAACAAATTTTGCATCCAATCTGGGGAGGGTCATGGACAGACAAACCCTTCCCCGCCCTGCTGAAGCCCAAACCAAACCCTGTGCTACACAGTAGATGCCCACTGAAGGTGAAAGTGAAAGTCAACTCTTTGTGACCCCATGGACTACACAGTCCATGGAATTCTCCAGGTCAGAATACTGGAGTGGGTAGCATTTCCCTTCTCCAGGGGATCTTCCAACCCAGGGATTGAACCCAGGTCTCCCACATTACAGGCAGATGGATTCTTTACCAGCTGAGCTACCAGGGAAGCCCAGATGCTTATTAAATATGATTACATTAGTGAAATGGCCATGTGTCTGCCCATCTTGCCAGCCAGTCTGCCTCCCTCCCAAGGTGGAGTCTGTGTTTTGAGAGTGCCTGCCCTAAGTGATGGAGGTCAGAGCACAGTGAGGAGAGAGTGCAGGGGGCCCTTCCCCAAGCAGCACAGAGCCAGGACACAGGCGGTAGTATGAAGGAGGTCATAAACCACCTTCTTTCTCTCTGACTGCAGTCCTCATTAGCAAGACACATTCCAAATTAATCTTCCTAAAGTGACAGCCCCAAATCTTCCATCCCTCTCTGCTATCTGCAGAATAGAGTCTGAATTCCCCAGCCCAGCCTGTAAGCCCCTTCTCCATGTGGTCCTAACCTCCCTCTCCCGAGTCTTCTCTCCTGGAACTTCCATTTTGGAACCCAAGTTACAGTGACCTTATCCCCAGATTTTGAGATGATTCCATTTCCTGTAATAATCTCTTCATGAAGCCAAGAAGTGAAGTGTATGATTAAAAGTTATTCAATTTTATTTTGCAACACTTTTCCAATAAATTCACAACTTGGAAAAAAACCCTTTGTCATTCTGGGTGTTCTAATTTTTGCTTCAAATGACTAGGCATCTGCTAAATCCAAGAACTGCAAAACACTCTGAGCTTTCCAGTTTCCACGCCTTTTTCCATGCTGTTCCTCTGCCTGAGAGTCTCTTGCAACCCAATCACACCTTTCTAAATTATACCCATCTCATCTGCTTCATCAATTACCAGCTCTTCCCAAAGACCCTAGGGCATCTCCCTCCTTGCCATCAGCCTCACCCTGCACCTAGGCCAGGGCTTAGCACACAGCTGGCAGTTAACAAAGCAGGAAGTAAGGAAAGCTCCCCTTCTACTAAATCCTACAGTGAACTTTCCCTGGAATCGGCCCCTTCGCCTAGATGTGACATCCTCTAGGCTACAGCCTGCATCTGTCCACCCCAATATCAATTTCCCTGCTCACCCTATCCTGGACAGCATGGCACCTAGCACACAGTAGGTGCACAACTGCTGCCTGACTGGCTAATTATAGAAGAGAAATAAAGCAGCTGTTGCCCGCCTTGCATGTTTCTGCCCTTCCTTTTCTTCTTTTTTCATATCCAGGAAAAAAGCAATTCCTTTGCAAAGATAAAATAGGTCAGGTTCCCTCTCTCCTCCTGCCCTGTGGTGTGGTCAGACACTCTCCTACCCAGAGTATCAGAGAGCCTTTCTGGGCATTCTCTGGGTCAGAGACAATGTCAAGCTGCCTGTGTCCTGGCACCGCCCCCCACCCCCACCCTCAACTCTGCTCCAGGTCCTGCCACCTTGGGAATCAGCTGGAACACTTGAGTCTCCATGCTGATGCCTCCTCCTTCCATTATAACAGGCAGGAAAGGAAAGGGGTGGGGGTAGCTTTTCAATAACAATACACATTAATGTAATCAAGTTAAATGTTAGGTGTTTTTATTTTATTTTTTTAATATGACAGTGGCTCAGAAATCAGAGAGAGAGCAGAGGTGCTTGCCTGACAGTAGCATGAAAGGCTGCAGCCCACTCTTCCTTTAGTCACTGGACCTTGCACTCCCTCTAGCTTTCACTTCACAAGCATGTGTTCTCGCAGGAAGGTGTGCTCAACCTGGCATCCATGATGGCATGGATTGGCTTAGGGGAACCTGGAACCCTCCGAAATCAAGGGTAAGTGTTTATATGTGCACTTTTCTGGAGGTAGGGGGTGGGGAAGTGTTCACAATGTTCTTGGGTTTCTCTGAGGCATCTGTGACTCCAAAGAAGCACAGGAACTAGTGTAGAGATGCCAGATTTAGCAAATAAAAATACTGCATGGGACAAATTTGTATTTTAAAAGTATTCATCCTTGAGCTGAAATTTACATTTAACTGGGTGTTCCAGCCTTCATCTGGTAACCCTAAACCTATGAGTTAGACCTGGGAAGACATAACATATCTCATATGCTATAGCCATTTATTCATTTCTTCCTTCATGGGTTCCTTCATGCAATCACTATCACACGCTAGGACGAGAACCCAATGCGGGGCACAGCCAGGAAAACAAATGCAGCCCATGGCCGCCATATTGAAAACACAAGAGACCTGGATCCCAGCCTCTGCCCCGCACCCCTCCAGCTGCACCCTGCCTTCAGGGGTGTGGGTCAGGAAGCAGCACTCCAGAACAGGGCCCCAGCGGCATGCAGCTGGTGTCAGGGGGGTCATGGGTGCCTACTGCAGGGTCTCTCCCCCACCCACGCACCTTGATGAAGAGCCCCACGTCCTGGTCGCTCACACATGGATGGGCCCTCAGGAACTTCTCTCGCACCTCCCCCAGCTCCCTTTGGGCCTGCTGCTCATGGGGCTGCTCCAAGGCCTGGAACACCAGGGCACCGGACACCAAGTAGAGCAGGACCAGAGCCAGCAGTGCCAGTAGTGTGGTGCTGCGCATGGCGCGCCCAGGGGCCCGGCCAACCCCACTGCCCGCCTGGGGAGGCTGGGCAGGGGGCTCCTGGGGAGCTGCAGTCACTGCGGGCAGAACCAGGGATGCTGGGGTCAATCACCTGGCCTGACACCCCTACACCCTCCTTCTCCAACCCCTACACACCCAAAGGTCCTGGGGGCTCCCAACCTTACTACCTGCAGAGGGTCTCTCCTGACACCCCTCTGACCAACTTGACGCTTGGTACCAGGACACACCCAGTGCCCACCTCACCCCCACCTCGATCCTCCCCCTTACCTCCGCTGCCCGGCCCTGGACTCCAGGGTGTGAGAGGGCACAGGGAAGGGGAAGGACGGAGAGTGGAAGGTGGAAACAGAGACAGCCTGCCCAGGGAGAGGCGGGGCCAGAGAGGAGATGCTGGGGGCTGAGGGGGCGCAGAGGACCCCGCCGGGCGGGGACGGGGATGGCGGTCCGGCTCGTCCGCCGAGGTTGCAGCAGCATCTTCGCGGCTTCTCCCTCCTCTCCTGCCTCTCCTTGCTCGGCTTCTAGAGGCGATGGGCCGGGCAGGGAGCCCCCAGGGTCCCCAGCGCCCCGCTGGGCTTTCGAGGAACCCAGGGGCGGGTCCCGGTCGCTGCGCAGAGGCGAGGCAGGGTGGAGGGGAAGGGAGGGTACCAGGTTCCCGGAAGGAGCGGGGTGGGGGCGACCAGGGCCGGACCAGCGCGGCATCCCCCAGGACAGCTGCTGGCTCCCCCAGGACAGCGCGCGGCGACGCCCACGCGCACACACGCGGGCACAAAGACCCGCGCGCCCACGCTCCGCCCTGCGGCTCCAGGCGGCCTCGCTGCCCCAGTTGCACACACACCGTCCACCTGCACACACCCCGGACTCCCGGGCACACCGGACCTTCAGGGCCGTGCGCGCCGGGCCAAGGCCCCCAGAGGCCCACACACATGTGTGCACACACTCACGTCCACGCACACCCAGATCGCGGGGCCACAGCGCAGCGCCCGCCGCCCAGACACCGCACACCCCGCCACTCGCTCCCACCGCCTCCCCGCGTCTTCACGCCGACGCCTCGGAGCGTGACGGGCGGCGGGCGGGACGCACGGCCTCAGGACTCCCGGAGGTGGGCCCCCTCCCGGCCGGTCTCCCCCCGCGCGCCCCAGCCCGGGAGCCGGGCCTGCGGCCCCCGCCGTCCCGCACACCCTCCCCGCGCCCGCGCACCCGCCCGGTCCGCCCCGCACTCACTGTCCGCCACGCTGCGGTTGCGGCTGCGGTCCGGGCTCCCGCGCGGCCTCGCCGGTGCCGGCGGGGCCGCGGAGGCGGCGGCAGGGGCGGAGCGGGCGGGCGCTGGTGCTGAGACCCCACTCCTGCCGCCAGAAGCCCCCCTCCTCCCGCGTTTAACCCCTCCAGCACCGCGCTTCCCTCGGTGCCTCCCTCGCCTCCGGCTCGGCTCTCCGCAGCCCCTTACCTGAAGTTGCCCAGCCCCCCAAACCCAGCCCGTCCCGGGAGGTGAGTGGCAGAGGAGTCCGAGAGGGGTCGCCGCTGGGTCAGGCCTGGAATCTCAGACTGGGGCCCTGGGACTGCCCTGTGGGCCAGCCAGTGTGGCCAGCGGCACGGCCCCAACTTGGACATCAGCCGGCTCACCTTTCCGGGCGGGTTCCACGCTAATTTCCCAGCATCTTCCAGGCCCACTACCAGATCAGAAGGGCCCTCAACTCCCCGCCCCGAGGGACAGTCCTGCCCTTGGGCTCTGCACTTCTGAGGGAGAGACCCCAGGGGACAAAGGGATGGGGGATTCCACGGAGGGAACCTGGAATTGGCCGAGGTAGGGTTGGGACCAAGCTCTGAGAAATCAAGCTGGGCACTGCCTGCCTCTACTTCAGTATCCCCATCCCTAGCTCCTCAGTTCCATGCCCATCCCAGCCTAGAAGGGGTGCCAGCACTTCTCCCGCACTGTCTGAACAGCAGGGCCCTGAATTTAGCTCCCCTCTTCTCTTGCTTGCTTCTTAACAACTTTCATCTTGCCAAAGACCCTCCCCTCCTCTGGGGTCCTCAGCCTTCACTTGGGTGGTTTTAAGTATGGGCTCTAGGGCTGACCACTCCCTAACAGTAGGGGGCCTAGACTGGTGACCAGATTCTCCAGGCCTCCCAGTCCCCACTTACAGAAAAGGGATGACTAATTATCACCTCAGGATGCTGTGCTGAGGATTAGCGAGGTTGGTATCTGTAAATGCTCCAAACAGAGCCTGGCATTCACAATTGAGTGCCCTACAAATGTCAGCAATTTCCCTTTCAACTGAAAGTGATTGTCCAGCTTTGAGCTGCTTCTCTTGAGTCTCAGAGGCCCATCTCTGGAGGTACTGAGGCTTGGGGCTCAGAACAGTCCCAGGTGAAGTGTTTCAAGGCAGGCTCAGTGCTAGGTCCAAGGAACTGGACCAAGTGGCTAGATATATGGGCGAGATAAATGATTCTCTGATAAATGACTCCTGGCCAGGGGACAGAGGACAGATCTGTAAGGCCTGTGATTACAGAGGGCAGCGACTGCACTACCAGGGACAGTCAGGGAAGGGGCTCCCCAGGCAGACTGTGTGGGGGCAGCCTGGCCAAATCTACACGGGCTAGGGAGATGGGCGCTGCTGTTCCTCCACCAGTCCTGGACTAACTCCTGGACCTGAAGGCCAGGTTGGGCATAAAGACAGTGAAACAGGGTCTCTAGAAACCCTGATCCACTGAGAGCACGAGGCATAACAGCCATGCAGTCACAGTGCCAAGGGACCTGGGGTGGGTTGCGGAGGGACACAGTTCCCTGACCTGGAAGTGGCAGGGTTCATAAAGGAGGGGACACTTGAAGCAGTTCCTGAAGAGTAGCCATTGTTCATGCAGGGAGGGGACTGGAGCGGGGACTGGGTTCTTCTGGTCTCTTTTTCCTTTGAAAGCAGGCTCATCCCTCTCCTTACCCACCAGCCTTAGGGGAGGTAAATGACCCCGGCCCAGCCCAGTAGCCCCCTTCAAGGGCCAGGGTCCAATCAGCCCTAGACTGAGCGGATGATGAGAAACACATCCGCTGAGAAACACTGAGAAACACAAGCAGACAACTGACGGACAGCGAAGGGACTTGGGGCACAGACACTGTTTATTGAGTGGCAGACGCAGGAGAGGTAGCTGGCTCCGGAGTGGAAGCGGAGGTGGCGGGTCATGCCAGGGCGCCGTGAGCATCTGGCAGCCAGGGCCATGCCACCCCATCCTAGGGGACAGCACAAGCTCACTGCAACAGGAGTAGCAAGGAGCCGGCCTAGGGAAGCTACAGCCCCCAGGATCCTGGGCAAGAAGCAGCAGATGAACTTGGCACAGGGGTCTAGGGTGGGAGGGGCTGGGGGGTTGGGTGTTCTGTGGGGAGATGAAGGAGATCACGTCTGCGGGGTGGAGTAGAGACTGTGGTGGTGGCCGCCTGGTCCCAGAACCTGGGAGAAGAGCAGGGGCGTGGTCCGAGTCTGGCTGCCTCCGCACCAGCCTGGTTCCCGCCCGATGGTGCCATACCAGCTGCTGGAGCCTAGGCTACCTGACATGCTGTAGGCAGAGAAACAGGGTCAGCCCCCCAGCAGTCACTAGGACCACAGTCACAAGAGTTGGGGGAGGAGAGAGACTGAGAACAGGGCTCAGTGACCCAGACTTCTCTGACTATGGCAAACTGCATCTTGAGGGATTAGGTGGGGACTTCAGCAACAGCACACCAGAGGGGACCTCACCCAGTATACACCATGGCACGGGCAGGGGTGGGTGGCAAGACCCAGCTCTAGGTCCCCATGGCTTGATGGAGCAACCTGGGAGCCCCCAGGTCCTCGGGTGGGGCCAGGATTCCTACCTGGTGCTCTCGCCCCGGCTATGCTCCCAAGAGCAGCCCTCATCCTCGCAGTGTGCCCGGTCGAAGAAGTAGGAACGCGAGCCAAAGACCTGCCCGTTGAGGATGCGGCTGGTGCTCTAGGGAAGGGAGCCACCACTGATGCTTCCCTTCTGCCTCCCCCCACTGGCCTCCCACACCCCCAGAACCCAGCCCAGGGATCGCCAGTGCCGCCCCTCTCCACTGGCCCTCACCAGGTCCTGTGGGGGCCGATGCACCCGGAAGAAGCCCACCAGTAGGGTGGTGGGCAGCAGCTCCCATACAAAGAGGATGAGGCCAAACACCAGGTAGCCTTTGTTCCCCAGGTCATTCACCAGGTCCGCCTGTGGGGAGGCAGGGGCTGTGCCAATCTGCAGTCGTGCCAATGGGGCCCCCAGACAGGACCCAAGCTAGCTGGGGGCCAGGAGCCACAGCTACTGGGGAGGGGGCAGATGTGTCGAATGCCCACCTGATCAGAGACATTGTACCAGTCGTAATCGAAGGTGTCCAGCCGGCTCCGGGGGGCCAAGGCCAGGGCCGCCAGGTTGTAGCAGGCCCGGCTGGCATAGAGCAGGACCATGGCGCCACCCATTGCAGCTGCCTGGCACACACTGGTCCCCTGGCACAGATGACAACAGGGGACCCTTAGGGAGGGGAGGTTCCAGCTTTGTCTCTACTCTGAAGACCCTGAACACCCCAAAGACACCCAGGCGTCAGCGCTTGTGGCCCTACCTTGGCCTCCAGGTAGATGCTGGTGGAGGGGGCCCGCCGGGCCACAAGGCAGAGGCAGGCGGCAAGAGAGAGTGCGCAGATAACAAACAGGGAGTCGCTCACCAGGACACGCACCAGCAGGAGGGCCCAGGGCTGTGCCCGGCGCCGGCGGGACAGCACCGCGCACAGCACATTCACCAGCAGAAAGAGCAGCGAGGCCCCCACGAAGGCCCCTCGGACAGCCAGCCTGCGGCCCACAGCAGAGTCAGCCCCAGGCGACCACCCTTGCCACTCCCCAACCACCCAACCCTTCCCAGGAGACCCGGGTGTCAGTCAGAACCTCAGGCCACCCAGTCTGAACCCCACTCCTCCGGGTTTACAGATGAGGAAACTGAGGCTCAAGAGGTCAGAAGATGACTGACAGCTGTGGTACAGCAGAAAGAGCCCTGGATTGGGAGTCAGAAATCTGGGTTTAAGCCCTGGCTCTACCTCCTGCCAGGTGTGCGACCTTGAACATGTTCCTTAACCTTGGTGGGCCTCAGTGTCTTCATCTCTCAAATGGGGACACATCAGCTTCGAAGGTAAGTTGTAAAAATTAAAGGTGTCTGTGAAAGCTCTTAATAAACTGCGAGATGTTGTACAAAGGACAGGAGTTATCACTACCCAAGGTCACCCAGAAGTGCCCTTTGGAGCTTCCGAGGGCCGGAGCCTCCAGCTCTTCCTCCATCGTGGATGACACTGGTATCCTCTCCATTCACCATATTTCAGTGGTTTTTATTATAGTTGAGCTTCACATATGTAACACCTCTGCAGAGCCATCTGCACCAGATGCCTAGTGTTCCCAAGCCTTCCCCAAGCATCCTGGGTTGTACTCCCCTCAGCCCTACCAGGGGGGAAGGAATGGACACTGGGCTTCCCTGCCCCTGACTGAGCCCACCAGTACTTACAAGCCTCGGCTCATCTCTGGCCGACGCTTTGCCTTGGCTTTGAACACCACCTGGGGGCAGAGAGGCCCATTATTCTTTGGGGCCCTGGGGCTTGCTACCCCAGGGGCCCACCCCCACCCATCACCATGGTTACCTGAGCAAAGTAGAGGTTCATGAGCGTCAGTGTGAAGAACTGCAGGCAGACAGGACAGCAGTAGAGAAGCCAAAAGGGCAGGGGCCCCAGATGGTTGGCTCGGGGTGTGTCTCGAAAGTAGAAGGAGAAGAGGGTGGTACGCAGGGCAGCCCAGAGCAGACAGAGCGCCAGGAACACCGTCTGATAGCTGAGACGCTTGTGCCCATACAGGAGCACCAGCCAGAGCTGGGCATAGACGGAGAAGAAGAGCAAGGCGTACAGGGTGGTGTAGGCCGCAGTCAGCCCCAGGGTCACGGCGGGCGGCAGCGCAGGTACCAGCCCAGCAGCAGGCACCAAGCCAGACAGGTTACTCTCCATGTCAGGGAGGGAGGCCTGAACCCTGAAGACAGAGATGGAGGGGCCGGCAGGGCGCCAGGGAAATAAATACGGAGGGGTGGGAGTTGTAGGGTGCTCAGGCGGAAAGAAGTGGTGGTTGGCCGGCCCCTCCACCCCTCGACAGAGGGCCCCTTGCCTTTGCGGGGCACGGGCAACCTGGGTCCCTCACTCCCGGGTGTGGAAAGACAGCCCTTCCTCTCCAGGGCAGAGGCGGGTGGCAAAGTGGGGAGTACTCCTCTCCGGGCCAGCCTCAAAGCCGGGGATGGGGGGATGAGGGTGCAGAGGCCGAAGGAGAGGGGGTCCCTGGCCTCGGTCGCTGTAGTCGTCCCGGCAGGAGGGGGAGAGCCGGCCAACGCCAGTCTGTTCAGAGCAGCGGCTGCTGCTGGGGACGCTCAACGTCTGGCTCTCCCCCTCCCCAAACTAGAGGGCTCTCTCCCCTCCAACAATCCGGATGGGGAGGGCCTCTGCCTTCCGTCCTCGGGATTCCGGACGCTGACCCACCCCACCCCCCACTGCGTCCACTCTCCAGCCGCGGGGGGGCGGGAGGAGGCCGACGCCCGGTCCTCAGGCCGCAGCTGGGGGAGCCGGCTCCGGTCGCTGGGACCCGGGGCTCAGGCTCCCCGGCTCCCGCTGCTCCGCCCCCTCCTGCGCCTGCGCGGCCGCTGTTCGCAACGCAAATTGCTCAGGGTCTGGTCCTGGCTACGCAGGCCCGCGCCGCGCCCGGCGCGGAGCTGTTCGAGAATTGGCGCGACTTGCGCCACCGCCGGGCGCCAGGGGTTACTAGAGGCGGCGAGCGGCCTTGACGTTCCGGCTGCGCCGCATCCGGCCAGCGCCCGGGTGGGCATTGCCCGGAGCTACCGGCCCTCGCTTCCATGGGAAGCTGGCGATTCCCATGCTTCTCTTCCCCATTCCCAAATCGAGATTGTGCCGCCGACCCGGGGCGGTAACGACTTCCCTTCACTCGGCCTCTGAGGGAAACTTCCGCCCTCAGCCAAGATGGCCTCCGGGCCCCGCCCCCGGGCCTTAACCCGCGGGGTCGCCGCGTCCCGCGCGAGCCCTCCCGCCCATTCCCTGGCTGGGGGCGTTTCCCGCTCACCTGGCCTGCGGTCTGCCAGGCGCGAGGCCTCCGCGAGTCCTATTGTCACCCTCTTAGGGGCCCCTTTCCCTTCTGCGCCGGGGCAGTCATCCTGCCCCGGGTGGAGGCTCCCTCGCTTATCTCTAGTGCCCCCGAGTTGGCGCGGGGAGTGGCGCCCCTGACGCGGGCGATGCGAGATTTCCACCGCGGGGAGGAGGGAGGGGTGCTTCCCGAGCCGGTCACCCGGTTCGGATGGAGCAGTGACGACAGCAACAACAGTTGCCTCCGACGGCTGAGCTTCGATTACGGCTTTGCGAAGTGCTTTCACCCACAGTAATCACCGCCCAGTTTACAAGGATCACTGACTCCTGAAAGAGGTGTCATTATCCCCATTTTACAGGAGTGGGAATTAAGTCCCAGAGGGGCTGAAGGACTTGTCAGCAGGAGCTGGCTCCCAAATGGGGACCCCGGAGAATCCCTCAGTGGCTCCCACAACGCCCAAAGCCTAAGGAAGTCGGGAGCTGAGCATCCGGAGACGTAGAAGGGACTCAGGAGGAAGGCAGTGGGCGGGGCCCCGGGGAGTGGCCCCGCCTGCTGGCCAGCTAGTGACATTTCAAGAACTGATTGGGCCGGGTCGGTGACAGTTTCCGTTACCCAGGCAACTAGGGCCGGGCTCTCTTTTTGCTAGAGGGACGCGGCGGGCCCGGGTCAGGGGCCTCGTTATCGGGCTTGGGGTGAGATCTGTGTGACGTTACCGCGGGAGGGTCTGGCCGAAGCCTGGGCAGGGGCCTGAGGCTTCTCTCCAGCCCCAGGGCTCTGAGAGTTTTAGATCCTGGGTGGATAAGTCGAGCTTCCTGCCGGGCCAGACTCAACGGACAGATGTGCGCCGGGGAGGCAGGGTGAACCTGGGGTGCTGACTTGGGAGAGGGAGCCAGGGACACCTGTGCCCCCAACCCTGCCAGCCACCCTTAGCCCCAGCTGTTCTCTAATTACCTGCCATCTTGCCCCCCCGCAGCCCAGAGCATGTTCCAGATCCCAGAGTTTGAGCAGAGTGAGCAGGAAGACTCCAGCCCTGCAGATAGGGGCCTGGGCCCCAGCCCCACAGGGGACAGGCCCCCAGGTCTCAGTAAGCACTGGCTAACAGCCCCAGGCCTCCTGGGGGAAGCTGATCACCAGCAGGGGCAGCCGGCCGGCAGCAGCCACCATGGAGGTAGGCAACCCCCCTCCCCAACAACCACCTGCCTGTCCAGCTTGCCTCCAGCCCAGTAGCTCTCTGCACCCCAGCCACATCACACTCGGGGTGGGGGGGGTTGAGTAAGTCCCTCACTGCTCTGCACCTCAGTTTCCTCTTCTGTAAAACAGCAGTTCATCACCACCCTTGTAGTGCTGTGGGGAAGATTAACAGACATACCTTAGAAGCACTTAATTATAGAGCTGGTGTTCAGTAAATGCTCCAAGTATGTAGCTCTTAGCATAGGACCAGAACGGAATCACCGAGAGGCCACCAGAAAGGGGAAATGACTTGCCTAAGGTGACACTCACTCGGCATTTCCTTTGGGCTCAAAGACTCTGTGCTGCCTTGCCCCAGGCTCTGTTCTTTCCCGCCCTGTGGCTCACACCCAATGTCAAGGCTGTCCTTGACATTGCCAGGGCCAGGTAATCCCAAGAGGCAGACAGCCCTACCAGGCAGCGGGTTTGTGTGGGACTGGGAAAGCATCAGCTGTCCTCCATATCTACCAAGGGAGACCCAGCTGAGATGGAGGGATGGGCCCTGGAGGGAAGCGGCCATGTCTTAGTACTCCCTACCACCTGGGTGCCCAGTACAAGCCTTGGCACCTGGAACAACCACAGAAATCTTCTGAAAACACAACTCCTGTCCCTTAACTGCTGCCGATGTGACACCCTTCCATTTTCAGGAGCAGGAAGGCTTATTAATACCCCTACCCCAGGGAGTTCCCTGGTGGTCCAGTGGTTAACACTGAGTGCTTTCACTGCCCAGGACCCTGGGGTTCAATGCCTGGTCAGGGAACTAGGATTACAGTCAAAAAAAAAAAAAGAAAGAAAGAAAGAAACGTTGATATTCAGTTATTAAGGATAAAAAAAAATTAAAAGAAAAAGACCCCACCTCACCCCCCAACCTGCTGTATGTCACACTGAACTCCACAGGCTTTCTTTAACTTCGAGATTTTTGCACTTGGAGTTTTTCTGCTTGAAACTGCTTTCCACTCTGTACCTGCCTGTCCCTTCCCATCTTCTGTGTCAAGCACTGAATGTGTGTTCTAGCTGCCAGGGGTTCATCAGGGACTAGAAGAGAAGCTCTTGCCCTTGTGGGTCTCCTACATTCTAGAAGATAGGGGGAGACAAGCCACAAAGAAAGAAACAAACAGACCAGTGCGTTAGAAGGTGATGCCTTAAGTGACATACCCTTGACTTTCTCTTTGGAATCCGGAGTGCTGGGGGCTGGATGGAGTGATTTGAACTGAGGTGGTCAGGGTGGGCCTTGGTGTTGGTGGTTTAGTTGCTAAATCATGTCCGACTCTTGCTACCCCATGGACTGTAGCCCTCCAGGTTCCTCTGTCCATGGAATGTTCCAGGCAAGAATACTGCAGTGGGTTGCCATTTCCTTCACCAAGGGGGAGGGCAGGGCAAATGCAAAGACCTTGAGGGCAGTGAGGGGAGGGGCTTGGAGACTACTCCGGGGTTCAGGGGAGGGGAGGGGCTGATGGGCGGGGCCTTGAAGGCCCAGGTCAGGGCTCTGGCTTTCAGGTTGAGTGAAAACCTGGAGGACTTTGATCTGATTTGGACCTCCAGAGAATCACCAGGGCCCCTGGGTGAAGACGGGTCTCCAATGGGCAAAGGTAGGGGTGGTGCCACAGGGGAGGAGGGTAGCCGGTGCGAGCGTGGTGGTGGTGGAAGTGGTAAGTATTAGAGCTGGACTCTGGGTTTCTTTTGAAGGTAGAGCTGGTGTGATTTGCTGATAGACAAATGTGTGAGGCCCAAAGAGGATGGCCTGGGCACCTGGAAGGATGGAGTCGCTCTTAACTGAGGTGGAACTGAGAAGGTGTGGGGTGAGATCAGGAGCCCTGCTCAGGCCAGATTAGGTTAGAGGTGCCTTTGGGGCATCCAGGTGGAGATTTCTAGTAGGGATAGATACATGTGGGAGTTGGCCATTGATGATGAAGTGTACTGTGGGCCCCGGGAGACAGTGTAGACAGGGTAGAGCTTGGGCTGAGTCTGGAGCTCTAAGGCTGCAGCGGGCAGCAGAAGTGGAGAAGCCTGCACTGGGGTCTGAGAAGGAGGGAGCCACCTGGTAGGGAGGGGAGTGTTGAACTGGGTGATGCTCCTTTGAGGGCTGCTGGAGGAGGGCTGGGAGTGGAGCGCTGGACTGGACTTAAGGTCGGGGCAGCTTGGGTGGAGAGTGCAGAGGGATGATGGGAAGAGAATTGGAGGTAGAAAGGAGAGCCCGCTCTTGGCAGCTGAGCTCTGGCAAAGAGGAACAGAGGAGCCAGGGACACCTGAAGGCCCAAGGAGAGTCAAGGAAGGATTGTTTTATTACTTAAGATAAAAAGGAAAAAGAAAAAAAAAGAGGTTCTTTTTTTTTGGCTGTACCATGTGGCTTGGACGGTCTTACTTCCCTGACCAGGAATCGAACCCATGCTCCCTGCAGTGGAAGCGTGGAGTCTTAACCGCCAAGGAATTCCTGAAAGAGCATGTTTATAAGTTGATGGAGTAATCCAGGAAGGAGGAAAATACTGGAGGATGCAGGGGAGAAAGGAAGCTTACTGAGAGGTGTCCTTGAGTAGGAGAGAGTGGTCTGGTGTTCAGGGCAGGGGTAGCTCAGCTGAGTGCAGTGGAGGGGTGGAGGAGGGCAAGGAGATACCTCGTGGGAACCAGCAGATGGTTCTGTCATGGATGCTTCCAATTTCTTAGTGAAAGGAAGCCAGGTCCTGAGCCAGGAGTGAAGGTGGGGAGAGTGGTGGAGGTTGAGGCCGAGAGAAGGAAGAGTAGGTTTGAAGTAGTTGTCTGGCCCAGAGTATGGAGTTGGAAGGTGTGCTGGGCACCTCGGGGGGCCACTGGGTCTTGTGACCATGAATTTCAACAGAGGTGGCACAGCTGAGCTTTTCTTCAGCCATGCTGGCCACCCAGGTGCATGTGGGAACGGGCTAGGAGTTGGCCTTAACCAGGGCTGTGTTGGTATCAGCCCAGGGAGGGAGGCAGTGTGGGGCTTGGCTTGTATCCAGTGTAAGCTGGCGAAGTGTGAGGAGCCTGGCATCATCAGAGCTGGGGTGCCAAGGCAGGGAGCTGGAAAGGACCATTTCTGTGCTATGAGTGAATGAAATAGGAGCAGCAAAACCTCCTGCACCCACTAGGGGCCCATCCTGTGGGTGGGGGGGCACCTGAGGCCCCAAGGGGGAAAGGTGGCACAGCCCAGGAAACTAGATTTGGGGAGGAGAGAGGGAAAATGGACTGAAGCAGCAATAAGCCAAGGGGATGCCTACCCCAGCTCCAGGCCCAGCCATGACAAGCCTTGCAAGGGATGCAAGAGACCTGCCCTGGATTCCTTTCGACTTAGTTTTCAACATCTAAAAAGCAAGTGGTTCTCCTTGAAAGACCCACAGGTGCCCATAACCTGCCAGAACCACAGGGCCACTGCCCCCCTCTGCAGGGGCAGGGTGCTGTCACTCTTCATGTTCCCTGCCTCCAAGCCCCTGCTGCGGTGAACCGTGTGTGTCTCCAGGGCAGGCCCGTGGCCGCCTTGTGTGCTGTGACAGTCCAGTGCATAGCCAGCTGCCTGGAGCAGCTGGTGCGTGAATGGAGACACGCGGTCAGTAAATCAACCCAGTGCCAGGCCCCGGGCCAGACTGCAGGGTTCAAATCCAGCTTTTTTTTTTTTTTTTTTTTAAATTAAAGTATAGTTTATAAAATATTCTTCCTTCCTTAGTAACATGAAACCTTGATAATGGAATAAAATAAAACCGTCTTTTTTTTTTTTTTTTAAACTCTGCCCCAGGTCGTAGTTGCAACACACAGGTTCTTAGATCTTCATCAGGGTTTGTAGGATCTTTACTTTCTGCATGTGTGTTCTAGTTCCCTGACCAGGGATTGAGCCCAGATCTGCATTGGGATTGCAGAGTCTTAACCACTGGAAC